GCTGATAAGGTTCCTCATAAGTAAGTAAGTCTGACTGCCAACTGAACTGAGCAAAATAGCTTTCTGCCGACCTGCATCTTCGATCTCATTAGCTTCAAAGAAATATTGGAGAACCTCACAATATTCCTCCCACGTCTGGGATTGACTATCAAAAGGAGCGGTGTTTCCTACCGTTGCCGTCGCCATCTTCTAGCTCACACCACTGTCCGGTGTTTGGTGCCGTTAACGTAGCCACTCAACAGTCTCGCTCATTTGTGTGCATTTCCACCAGGCATCTGCTGTACTTTTATCCTCGTCGCCATTTTGTAGTAACTCACAGGAGGCTTCTGGTGAGCATAGTGGAGTTTATTGGTTTCTGGTAGCGCCGAGCTGCGACTCCGGTTCATCACATACTTAGCATAACAACATAGCCCCCAGTTCCTCTTTTATGCTTATGGAACGGCAACAACTTCAATGTCACAGTGCCACCTAGTGGACTGGTGAACTAACATGCAATGATATGACCTTACAACAGTTTTATATCCATATAACGGGAAGAAACTAATCCATAGGTTAATCTAATGTGTCTGTGTCCCTTTGAAATGATTTATGATAATCCATAAGCAATAAACCTGCTTTTCCGTTTCCAGATGTCAGAGTGAGAGATAGGTTCGCTCTTATGCAAAACTGGGTGCGCACCAGAGTTCCCGTTAGCCTGTAATTACCGGACTATGACCGGTAAAATATGCTGAAGACCGGCAAATCTAAATCTCTCCGGTCAAAGTGTCCGGTCAAAAATAATTTCCGTTTAGCGCAATACCGCATCAGTTGCGCAACTTGCGCCACTTATGTGACAGACAAAAGAGTATGTGACAGACAAGAATAGTCAATTATAATGTCTAACACTTAATGTGGAGAAAGAGATGTCCTGTATGGGTTGATTGTGCGTTGATCTGTTGGTAATGCCTCGGGGTTCCGGTGGGCATGTAAACAAATGCATAATGCTGCGCTATACTTTGTGGCCTCACCCAGTTGCATAGCGACACTTATTGTTTAGGTGTCTTTTAATAAGCAGGTAGTCATATCATTAGCTAGAACTAGCTAGATCTGATCGATATGGACATAAACGTGAGTGAAGTCTAATCTGACGGGAGAGAGAGATCAGCTGCTGCTGACGAGTCGACACACAGCTCTGCATGATCACCTGCAGCGGTGAGCGGAACAAAACACACACACTCATAGGCGGCGCGTGAGGCTCAGGTTTGGGAAGGCTAAATAACTTTTTTTTTCATCTTACGCTGCCCGCCTCCGGCGTCTATAGAAAAGAGATCAACTCAGTGAAAGCACCACCTGCTGATCAATCAGAGCTCAGTGTGCGGAGTTTAAATCTCTCAAGTCATATTACAGGAAAAAGGAAATGCAGTTTAAACTGCCGTATAAAGAGAAGACGCCGACGTGTCGCACTTATCATTCATATCACACTGACATCACATCATCAATCAGATCATCGATCTCACATCGATATCACAATATTTCCTTATCTGAGTCAGCTTCTCGAGCCGTATCTGGCCGTACAACACTTAGTTACATTGTCACATACTGTATGCAGACGTATTATTTTAAGCAACACATTAAGTGGACGAAACACTCAACTCAAATGTAATAAAGTCAGATCCCCTCGTGTTTTAGATGGGGCAGTATCATAAAACTGTTGTACGCTTTCAAACACTCGGTAGTTTATTTTTTAACGAGTTGTTCTGTATTCTCCTTGCAGGTGCAACTATGTGGCTTATCCTGGATTATATGTTTAAGTCATCATGGATGTTTAAAGTTCATATTTGTCTAATATTAGTTTACTTTTCATTAATGAAGTATGATGTTGCGCTGTCAGTACACCTGTCCCTGTTTGTGATTGGTCAAATGTAGCTAACCCCGCCCCTTTCACGTGAACGCGTTCTTAGCTGGAGAGAGAAACCCTGGCTTGATTTACCGAGTTGATAACCAGCGCCGTAGGACCGTTTAGCGAGATCTCGTTTGTTAGGGTTAGTTAAGATAACTCAAGCATATCCAGGGTCTGTTGAACTGGCTTCGTGGTACAGGGCACAGGTGGCTGCATAGCAGCGCTAATGTCAAAGACATTATATTTTTATTTTACCAGGATGCAGTTACACAAATATTTGGGAAGGCTTAGCCTTCCCTAGCCTACAGCACACGCCGCCCCTGAACACACTTCAGGTTAGAATATCACACGTAGCTATTTTAATTACCTCTCAAACTACCTAAACTAGTTATAGATATGTTTAGTCTTACTGTCGGGTCACTCATTACTGATCCGCGAGCTGCATGATACTGACGGGCTGTCAGGACAGGGAGAGAGCGCTCCGTTTATTATTCCCGTGTTATTGTAAATTACTGTACACTTTTGAATAATGTAGTTAATCTACTATAATTAGTTTGTTTAATATCGAATCATATCAATTTGTTTTAAAGCTCAATAAATAACAAAGAAAACCTTTGACCGGCACTTTTCAAATGTTGTCAGGAAGATTTAAACTTTAACGGACATGTTGACCGGCGAAAAAATATTCTAACGGGAACTCTGGTGCGCATAGCTCTCATTTCTCAATGGTAAGGTGTGTGTGTGTGTATGTGGAAATTCCCCTTCGATTATATTGGCTCTAACGGTCAAAAAGAGAAACAATGGGTTCCAGAGAAACGGTAAAAACGGCCATTTCCACCCAAATGACCCCAGAGGTGGAGTTATTTTTGCTAAACCTCTCTAAAAAAGGTCAAATGTCACTTGTTTTGCATCAATCTTGATACAGGGTACTTATTATATGTTGTACTTTGGATTCCTAAAGCTTTTAGTCTACCTTACCATCATCCAAGGCAAGGGTAGTTTTCACTATAAGTAAAAAATAATTTTTGAACGGACACTATCATTTACAGTTTTTTGACTATGTTCAATCTGCATTTTCTTTAAAATAAAAAAACATCTATATTGATTCTGACTTTTCTACATCAGACTCACAGGTTTATCATTACTTTGAGAAAAAAGATTATTAATTTTCCCCTTTGAGAAGTGTAGTTATGGTAATTTGTTCTGGGAATGTCATTTTCGAGCCTGAGACCTGAAAAACAGGCTCAGTGCTTAAAGCCCCTGTCCCACTGTCCCGAAATGTACACCCGATGGACACACGAATATTGAATTGTGAATTTCGCACGAAGATGGCCCCGAACCACACACGAAGGCAACATTTACATTACATTTAAGACATACAACTGCAACGAAAGTAACACAAACAATTATGTTATAAGTACTATGATACTGTACTGATATTTTCAGACTTTGTTCTTTACTTTCTCCGTCTTTATATGTAGAAGATATTACGTGTTCTCCGTCATGTTGTTGTTTCCATAGCAACCACAACTTCCTGCCAACTCGCCTTCAAAATAATATATTATATCCTTTTCAGTTTCACAGAACACAAATTGGGTTATTTACATAATATTTTTACATGATTTTGTTGTGCAATAAAACAACCAGATGGACACACGATAAAGGAAATGTTCAAATTCGGCTGTGATCGTAGCAACATCGGGCCATTCGTGAGGGCATCTTAAGCCTTCGTATGACCGCCGGTGGAGTTTCTCAGGCTCTGGCAGCAACTTCGTGAGCGGTGGCAAAATCTTTGGCATGTCAAAAAATAGCCGAAGGACCTTGCGAAGGTTAATTTTCGTGTTGAATTCGTGTGTCAATTTTGCCCTTCGTAAGGCCATCGTTAGGGCATCTTGTTATCATCGGTGCCATCGGGCATTCGCCCCGATCAGAGTGAGGGCGAATGCACCGATGATAACACGAAGATGACACGACTTGACAAGATGCCCTCACGAGTGCCTTACGAAGTTGCCGCTCACAAAGTTGCTGCCGGAGCCTGAGAAACTCCACCGGCGGTCATACGATGGCTTAGATGCCCTCACGAATGGCCCGATGTTGCTACGATCACAGCCGAATTTGAACATTTCCTTTATCGTGTGTCAATTTCGGGACAGTGTGACAGGGGCTTTACAGGTTAACTTTTTTTAAATTGTAATTTTCAGGCAAGGTTAAGCATAAATCTAGTATAAAAAAAACCTGCAAGTTGCTCTTTAAAAAAGGGACAGATCATTGTTAAAGGTCCCATGTCATGGCCATTTCTACTGATCATAATTTCATTGTTGAGGTATACTAAAATAGATTTATACTGTGCAATTTTCCAAATTCACATTGGTTTCTCATGCAGCATAGTATTATGTATATTCACTCTGTCCTAAACGGCTTGTTGGAGCTCCTAAAACAATGTTTTACCTAGTCTAGCTCTTGGTATCCTTCTTGTTTAGCTCGGTAGCATACACGCTAGGAACGGTAGCTCGGTAGCATACACGCTAGGAACGCCAACTATAATGTAGGCCTACTGACCGTACGGTAAATCACCCGGAGTATACTGTCTAAGAGTATTTTGTTTGTGAATGCAGACATTCTCCTGCTATGAGATACATGTAAGGCCATCTGCTGACATTGGAGTTGATATATGGAAAAGCTAGCAACTTAGTTAGCCCAGTTAGCACTGTGTCATTACATTGCATTTAGCTGACGCTTTTATCCAAAGCGACTCACAATAAGTACATTCGACCAGGAAGACACAAACTTGAAGAAAACAGATTCATATAAGTACATCAGGTTTCATAGAGCCAAACATTTCAAGTGCTACTCAATTGGCTGTAGATAGGCCAGTCCTTTATTAGTATATAAGTGCTCTGTTAGCAGTTCTTTGTTAGTAATTCTATCGCTCGAAGTGGAGTCGAAAGAGATGAGTTTTCAGTCTGCACCGGAAGATGTGTAGGCGTTCTGCTGTCCTGTGTCAATGGCTTAGCAGCCCGAAAAAAAGTGTACCCATTTAAACAGTCGTGGTAGATATACCTTGTTTGTTTTAAACATCATAAATACACAAACAAAAATACATATTTACAGGTTGTGTACCCGAATCTCCCGCTGGTCCAAACAAAGTAGGAACAGCATCGTCCTTCCGTGTCCTACGCTGTGCATATGAATCGCTGCAATGTTTGCCAAGCTTTGGTCCGTGAAATGCGGTGCACACAGTACAATACCGGCTCGAACATCTGAAGGAACAGTGTTAACAAGAAATGTCAACCACTGACTTCGTCGTGGTTCTGCCCTCGGTAAGGCATACATTGAAGATTTCTCCTCACAAGACAGGAAACAGACCCTCGTTGGCATGACTGGATACAGTTTTGAACTGAACCTGAGCATCCAACAGTATATATGTTCGGCTGGCAGAGATAGGCTCTGGGCGTGGCTACTGGGTATCCCTACGTCGCGATACCCAGGAAGAAAACATTGGAAAATGAGAAATCTCCAACGAGGCGTTTTGGGGAGGTATTTTCTGTGTTGGAGTTTTACTCCGTACAGGGTGTACTTTGAGGGTTTTTGACTCTGCAGACCATTCACATGCATAAAAACCTTCATAACACACAAGGGGACGGGTAATAACCGGAAAAGCATGACATGGGACCTTTAAGTAAAAAAATCCTTACTTTTCCCAGCAGTTGATCAATTTAGTTGTTTTTGTCAGAATTGTGTGGAGATATCAATTGATCTCAGTTTTAGTATTATTAGATCTTAGTGCTGAACAAATAAAAGTCTGCACTGAGCTTCAGTCGGAAATGTTCAAAACAACAGATAAAGCCAGAAATCTAGGTGTAGTCATGGACTCTGACCTGAGTTTCAACAGTCACATTAAAATAATTACTAAGTCAGCCTACTATCACCTTAAGAACATATCTAGGATTAAAAGACTAATGTCACAGCAGGATTTGGAAAAACTTGTCCATGCTTTTATCTTCAGTAGACTCGACTACTGTAATGGTGTCTTCACAGGTCTCACTAAAACATCGAATAGAAGGCTGCAGCTAATTCAGAACGCTGCTGCTCGAGTCCTCACTAACACTAAGAAAGTGGGTCACATCACTCCTGTTCTGAGGTCTTTACACTGGCTTTATGTTTGTCAAATAATTGATTTAAAAAATAATGCTGCTGGTTTATTAAGCATTGAATGGCACCCAGAACTCAGAAAAGTGCTTTATAAATAAACTTGCCTTTCCTTACCTTAGAGACGCCGGCCTCCAATTTAATGAAATTATTTTCAGAAATCATGACCCGGTTATTCACGAGAAACCAGTGAAGTGACAGTGAAGTAACAGCACTGCAGCACTCTACCTGCCAATCGTTCACAATGAAGCGTGCATCTACTCGTGCAAGATGTACTCGTGCAAGATGCAAAATCAATTGTGTCCTCCTCAGTTGAGCTGTAATGTTGTCTAGTCGAGTAGATGCATGCTTCCTTCCACGTGGTGATACGATTGGAGGGTGGGGGTGTAGTTCGGTAGAAGGAAAATAGTTCCCGCTGGAAAAGCTCAAAACAAAGTGTTATCGTATTATCTTGAGTGACAGGATCATGATTTCTTGAAATAGACATGCTGTTGAGTGTTTTTAATGTCGTTTTTTAGAGTTTGAGAGTTCACTTATATTGTTGAGAAAACAAACATGTCAGTTAGTTACAGATGATGGGACAGACAAGATGATATATTATATAGTTTTAAGTTTAGTGTGATGACACCCAAAATAATTTACTTGAAATAATTACTATAACTTAAATTCGTTGTGAATATATATTTGTAAGCCTTGTTCTCCATATAGATTGTGTCATATGATGCCTATGTTTAAATGTTTAGCTGACTGCAATTTGTATGTACTGTATGTTCAAGTGCTCATTGTATGTCTTCCAGTCCCTGGAGAGCACAAGGCGGATGATGCAGCTGGTTGAAGAGGTACACACACATGTAAACACACACACATGCACGCACGCACGCACACACACACAAAATTAGTGGTAGACGACTCAGGAGGACTGCATGTTGATTAGGAAGTCTGACATATTATGTTATTCCCAAGTTTGATAAAAAATGTACACTAGTGTTGATATTGTGTGTCATTCAGGTGCCAATGATCACATCAACAGCTTGCTTACAGTAATGTGCTGTCTGTTTTTGTGTGGCTTTATGTGCTCTTTTCTGCAGAGTAAAGATGCTGGAATCAGAGCTGTGGTCATGCTGGATGAACAAGGAGGTAATCAATTATGTTGGATCTTTAAGTCTCTTTTTTTGGCTTGTTTAAAGTGTTCTTGACTATAAAATAGAAAAGTCTGCTTTCGATGGAAGAAGGTAGGGATATTTATGGTCCAATATTTAAAGTGGTAAAAGACAACTTTTCAACCCCCTCCCCAGCCTTTCCAAGAGGTATTATAGTTGATGCTGCTCTTGCAATGACAACCAACTAACTAATGACCAATTCAGAACACAAGGAAAATTGCAGAGATAATTGCATAGTAGAGGTGACAGGAAAGCCATGTGAATGCTGGGGAAAAGGCACACCCCTCACCCTCCTTAGTTTACTTTCTTTGCATCTCACATCTATTCAGAACACGATGTTCGAACCTATTAATGTAAATCACAGATTCTAGGTTGGATTTCTAGGGATTGACAACATGGTCTGAACATCAATCAGATCAGCCAGTTGAAACCATATGTTCCATATTGTCTGTCTCTAACGTTGTTACATCACTATTAAACCCAGCACCATAAAAACCCGTGTTCCTAACAGAGCAGTTGGAGCGTATTGAGGAAGGCATGGACACCATCAACAGGGACATGAGGGAGGCAGAGAAGAACCTGACAGACATGGCCCACTGCTGTGGTCTTTGTATCTGGCCAATCAGGAAGTAGGTTCTGGTTTCTGGGATCCACACCTTTAACCAACTGTCGCCCAGTTCCTTTGTCTGAGCTGAAGCCATATGGTTTTAATGGAATTTTGCATTAAAATAGAAACCCCATTGTACATGAAAAACAGTCCTCCAACCATCCCCTCCATCTATCCTTCTATCCATCCATCCGTCCATCCATCATCCATCCATCATCCATCCATCCATCATCCACCCATCATCCATCCATTCATCATCCACCCATCATCCATCCATCCATCCATTTAACCATCCATCCACCCACCCATCATCCACCCATCATCCATCCATCCATCCACCCATCCATCCATCCATTTAACCATCCATCCATCCACCCATCCATTTAACCATCCATCATCCATCCTTCCATCCATCCATCGATTTTAGGCACCACAAATTGAATAATTTCCGTATTTAAAATACTGGACATTATTCCGCCTTTCTCGGGTACAATCTTCAATAATGAGTAAACCCCTCATTCCAATCTAATCAAAACGGATGGATAAAACATGATGGAACTGGGTATGGAGGTCTTGGTGCAAAAAAGTGGGACGGCTGGGCCGCGTGTGGCCAAAGTGACATTATTTATTCTAAGCCAATTCTTTATTTTTTTGTTTTGGGCGTCTTACATTCAGTCGCTACTGGCTGCTTTTTCAGTTCTGTTGTGGGGCTTTAAGGAAATAGTTGCTGATTTTGTTTTGCCTTCTTCCTCCGCTCTCCTCTTCCATCCTCCTTTTCATCCTTTATTGTACATATCTTCATTTTATTTCTTCCTTCTCCTTTATGTTTTCTTACATCCAATGTACCTCCTTCTCCTCTCCTGGCACTTCCTTTCTTCCTCTCCTCCTGCATGCTCCTTGATCCTCCTCCTTCTCCTCTCATAGAGCAGTTGGAGCGTGTAGAGGAGGGCTTGGATCAGATAAACTCTGATATGAAGGAGGCCGAGAAAAACCTGACTGACCTGGGCAAGTGCTGTGGCCTCTGCTCCTGTGATAAGTATGTGTGTGTGTGTGTGTGTGTGTGTGTGTGTGTGTGTGTGTGTGTGTGTGTGTGTGTGTGTGTGTGTGTGTGTGTGTGTGTGTGTGTGTGTGTGTGGTGTGTGTGTGTGTGTGTGTGTGTGTGGCCTAGCATTACTATACTTGTGGGGACCTAAATCTGTTTACACAGTCACGTGTGGGGACTCGCCTCCCTTATGGGGACAAATTGGAGGTCCCCATGAGGGGAATCATTAATTTTAGGGTGAAGACTTGGTTAGGTTTAGGATTAGGGTAAGGTTAAGGTTAAGGGTAAGGGTTAGGGTTAGGCATGTGTTGGTTATGGTTAAGGTTAGGATAAGTCTCCAGGAAATGCATGTATGTATACATGGTATATGTGTGTGTGTGTGTGTGTGTGTGTGTGTGTGTGTGTGTGTGTGTGTGTGTGTGTGTGTGTGTGTGTGTGTGTGTGTGTGCATGTGTGTGTGTGTGTGTTTGACTGGTACACATTTTCTGAGAAAACTACAGAATATGGTGGTCCCTCATAGAAAACTAAAGAAAGCTTTCTATTAAAAAAGTGATTTAGAATTAAAGGAGTAATTCAACATGAAAATTATTATTTGTACCTGTTAACAAACACTCACACAAATCGTGCAGCATAATCCTTTTGAAACCTTCCTTTGTATGAGTATGCGTGCTATGTGTATCAGTGAGACTTCAATTACATATATATTTACATTCACATTTTTACTCTCACTTTATCAAAAATTGTCTCTTTGATTCTTTTGTTTATGCATGCTTGCTTCGATGCCCTATAGATTTTTTAAAGCTGTTTAGATATCGTCTTTACAACATGTTTAACTTCTCTACTGTATACATAGACAACTACTGTACCCATATTGGAAAGGATGCTATTCTTGTGCATCACATTTAGCAGGGTGGACTACCAATATAAATCAGTGGCGAACCGTGTCTATCACAACTGGACCTTCTGTAGACACACACACCCCCCCCCCCCCCCCCCTCCGCGGCATTATAATGTCCGTCTTTTCACTGAATTGTCATCTTGAAAAGGGTACTCACAACAATTCCGCAACAACTTCATCTTCACCTGTTGCACTTGTCATTTCAACGTTAAAAACAATAAAACGGCATGAATTGCTTCGTCGCATTCATCTAGATCCTCTGTCTCGAGCCAGTTAACTAGCGGGCCTTCTAGAATACCCTGGAACCGAGGGGAACTCTGAAAGAACACGCCCATTGGCTACAAATCAATATATGATTGGTTGATCAAACTGTCAGTCCAAAGGTACGCTCTCATTCAGTGCAACGTCCAGGGCATTCGATCAAGGATGTAGAATACCTTGGTTGAAGGATATTCTACCCAGAGACCCAGAACAAGATCTGATTGGTTGCTTTCTTTTCTAACACAAAACCACTGAAATGCGTAGCATGGTCCGAGAAGGACAAACAAATCAACGTAACACTGTAATATTACAGATCAACAACACAGATACCATTCTCATTTTATTCATTTTATATACATTTTATTATATTTTATTACATTTTATTTATATAATTAAATCGATTTTTTGTTTGTTTTATGTGAGTGTTCCAGGGTATTCTCTGAATACCTTGAAGGCCCTGACGGTTCGCCACTGATATAAATGCATTCATAAGGAATGTCTCTCCTTGTCTCTCTCCATCTTTCAGACTAAAAGCCTTTGAAGGGAGCGGGGCGTACAAGGCAGTTTGGGGTGGAGGCTCCGGTCAGGATGGCGTTATATCCAACCAACCACCTTCGTCTCGAGTCGTTGATGAGAGGGAGCAAATGATCATGAGTGGAGGACACATACGGAGGTATTGAGAGAGGTTAATGGAGTGTGTATTGTCGGTTGCTTGTTAGGAAAGGCAGCTGTGTAATGTAATGTCATGTAATGTAATACTAGTCATCAGTCATACGGGCAGCTGGCCAAACACAGGCCAACACACACACATTATTCTGCTCTATCTCAGGGTGACTAACGATGATAGGGAGGTCGAGATGGACGGGAACCTGGCTCATGTCGGCAGCATCCTCGGAAATCTGAAAAGCATGGCCCTGGACATGGGCAACGAGATGGACATGCAGAACAACCAGATTGAACGCATACAGGGCAAGGTACAACTGTCACATGACAAATTACCCTAATTATTACTTGATGTATTACCGCGGTACACATTTTCCTCAAGAGTTTATGGTCCCATTCAGAGACTTTACTCATAGTGCCTTAAACTTGTTTAGTTTGGGTGTTGTCTTTGAACTTTAATTTTTTCACAGGTTTTCCGTTAATTCAGTTCAGGTCATTTCAAAGTGAATTGTAACATTCTTATTTCCTACAAATGTGAATTCCAGGGTTCTGTAATACATGGCTTTACCCTCTTTTAGTTAATAAAAAACCAAGAATGCCACGTTCAAATTGTCAAACTTGAGGATAAAACACTGTCGTCTACAAACCTATGGGTGACGTCAATCACAAAAGCACTATATAAACAGAGCCCATTTACAATTGTAATCAGAAGCAAGAAGCAAGACAGGAAACGAGCTGGAAGTCTTGTGGCATTCATTCACTGACAAGCATAAATTGTACAATGCACTGTTATTTTCAGCAAGAGCCAGCATATGTGACGGTGAGTAGGAATTGAACGTTAGTGCTTACTTTGTACTCATCGTCACACACTGTCTTCCGCTACGTTGAGAGAAAGGCTGAGAAGTCCAGCAGGTCTCCCGTGTCATTTACATTTGCTGTTTCTTTCCTCTCTCTCTACAGGCTATTCTCAATGTGTCACGCATCGATGCTGCGAACCAGAAAGCCAACAACCTCATAAAACGATAGAAGTAACACTTTTCCATGTCACTCTTTTTTTAAAGCGTATTTATCCTAGTAGCATTACTATGTTCTGCATGCTGTGCCAAAGTGTTGCTGCTGTTAATACATAGGCTACTAAACATAGTTCTTTTTTTAAGTAGAGTTTCCTTCCTGTTATGTTATTGCTGTGATTTCACTATGGGACTTACATTCTGTGACTCTTAGTTACAAGATCTCAATTTGCTCTTGTGTTTCTATTTATTCTCCTGATATTCTATCTAGTCATAGCTTCGCAGCAAGCCCTTTGTTGGTTGTTGTTACATTCCCCCCGAGGTGGCTCACTCGGCAGAGAATAAGGACGTTCTGATGATCCCTGTGGGGAAACTGGGTCACTGCAGCACTATGAAGACAAAAACAAAATGTAAACTTGTGGAAAACAGCAGCGAAGAGCAGCTCCTTGACCCAGGGCGTGTATCACCGAAGAGCTGCCTTTTACTTCTACGGGTCAGATAATCATAAGTTAAAAAACAGCTGTATGTGTGCAGGATAAACAAAATACTATCAACAAACAGCCCCTTCCCAAATGCAACACCATTGTATAACACACCCCTCCCCCCTTTCTCTAGTCGAAGATGTCCCATAACACGTGCGTGTTGGCGCCCTCTGCAGATGCAGTCGGGTATTGCCCAGAGAAAGGAAACACGTATTTGTCATCAGACAAAGACCTTTTGCGACACCAAGCGGACAAACATGGAACCTGCTCCTCTAATGATCTCTCCATCTTCTCTCGTCTCATGTTGATGTAAAATGGTGGTGAAAAATGACGATGAATTGGTGTTGTCTTATAATGTGATCTCATCAAGCTTTTGCAGGCACAGTTAAAACAATTCTGCAAAATAAAAACTGTTTTGGGCTTTTTGCTGCATGCTTTTCATATAGTCAATAAACATGTTTTGATTTACTTTGTTGTATCTCGATTGTATGGGTAATTATAATAGGCTGTATAAGTATAATAATGTGTTTGACTTTTGAAGACTAGAAAAACATGCAAAGCTAGATAACTTTATATATTTCTGTATATTGTGATGAAATGCTAAAACATGTACTTAAAGAATACTTTATCGAATAGAAATGTGGCTATGGACTCATATTGTCAAATTGGAAGGAGGGGCAAGTGGTTATCTTTGGTGGGTCATACTACAGCTTTGTGAAGAGGATTAATCATCAGTTTTTCCACATAAAATAAAAAAACACGAGTTAAATGCGCATATTTTACGAGTTTTGTGTTTACTTTATTTGAAAATGGACGTGATTGGTGCACGGTGTAGGGGGGGCAGCTGTGGGCGCGCAGAGAGCTGAAATGTTGCGCGTTCAAGGGAGGAAAAAAAAATTCGGAGTCTGCGCAGTCCCGTTGTTCTCGACTCTCCGAACTTTCGGGAGAACCACGGAGGAAGGAGGGGAGGTAGAGAGAGAAAAACGCAATTTTTCCTGGTAATTATTTTAACATTTTCAGCTTTTTACTTTGCACGTCACCATATTGTCTTGATAACACACTACACGCGTGATATAAATACAAAAGCAAGTATACCCGTGAATAGCTTCAATGCGAACAACGGAGCTTAGCACCAGAGCAGACATTACGTCCTCTACCTCCACCACTAAGTGCCGCCTAACGTGAGCTGTTTCTCGGTGCAACGGAACCGGCACTCAGATACAAGACGCTGTTTTGCGAACGCCCGCTTTACATGCACGGTAAATCCACACAACTGCGCTGAAATTCGCTGTAAATCCGGGTTTGCCGTTTTATCGCCATAGCGTGTTAACGCTACGGCGCCCTCAGAGATGGCGGAGTCTGTGGGCTGGCTGCTCCTTGTGTGAGCTCAACAAAGACACACTAGCCCACAGCTGATTGGCTCAGACGGACCACGTGGTCAAAGCAGACGCAACGCTAATTTAAATCTTTTTGAGAAGTTTTTCTCAATAATAATAATAACATGTTCTATATAAAGAGCGATTTCAAAGTACTCACAGACACTACATATCCAGGGTAAAATTCATTAAACAATTCTTCAAAAATCATGAAGAACGACACACACTCAAAATAGAAAACAAACAATATTAATTAAACATGAATAGCAGCTGTCAAACATTATTCAAAAGTTCATATCTTATACATTTTGGTAGCTATCAACACTATACTTGCGTGTTATGGTAAAAACATTCAACAACATGTAGCTAAAATTGTAATTTTGTTGTTTCTTTATTTTTATTTTATTATTATTTTTATGTAGGTCTTTTAAATTGCACTGTTGAGTAACTTGAGATCTTAGTTTTTCATACATTACATAATTACACCGTAGTGTTGTATATGTTATGACAATAAACCTTATGAATCTTGAAAAAATATTGAATCTTGAAATGGCTCTTTAAACAGAGATAAAACACTATAACAGGACACTGAATGTATTATTTTTGATATAGTTATGGGTCCTAAAATAAGAAGAATTTTGAGATTCTACTTCGATTTAGTCAATATCGCCACAGTGTTGCATGTTTGGTGACTATAATGTTAGTTTCTGACTTTTAAAAGCCGATAAATTACAGTTTTTTTGTCATTTCATCTAAATCTACACCTTATCACAGTTACAAGCCAACCCTAAGTGTATTTCTATAATATGGCATTTTTCATTTTAAAATACTACCAGGAGGCACTGTAGGAAAAAAACAAGATGTCCTCAGAATCAGAATCGTAGGTTTACACATACGAGGAGTTTCCTTTGCTATTATGTGGTGCATACAGAGACACAGAAACAACAATACGTAGCAAAACAAATACAATACAAATATATTATAACAAATGGCAAAAATTAACAATATTTATTTACATATGAGAAATACTATATGTATTTATAGAGAGTACTGGTTGTGAAAACAACCACAGTCCAGCTCTAAAGAACAACATTGCACAAATGTTTCTCTATACTTTTTGGGTCAGCCATGGTGTTTCTTCATCTCTGTATCTGTACTCTACAATATGTTATTTTTAAACCTCAAGTCATCAGCGGCATTCAGGTTGTGTGAAAGTACCATATGAGTCATATCAGGTGAATACATGTATTTATTATGTGGAGATTCTAAGCTATGAGAAATGCATTTAATTATCCTTTTAAGGAAAAACCTTTGTACTTTCATTCTGACCTATACTGCCACTGAGTGTAAGACTTTTCATTTGGTTGTAGAACATTTTGGAAAAAATATCAAATTGAAGTCTTCTCATCTTTATTAACAAATATAAAAACAATAAAAATATATATTTAAATTATTTTAAAAAATGTACCAAGCGTATTTAGATTTGAAAAGTGTTTTTAGACAATATACTTAACATATTTTTTGACACAAATATTACACCTCCTGCTCTTTGGTTATTGGCTAATCCAAATATAGCAATTTCAAAAAAACTTGTTAGCCCCTGCTGTTTTTATGTGACGTAACCGCTCCAATACAGTGGGTGTTAACTGATGAATGTCGTACACCAAAACATGAAAATCGTTTAAGCTTGTGTTAACCACCGAAAGTGCTAATATGCTACCTCATATCTGGGTTGCGACTCATTCCTGCACCCATCCACTGTATATGTAACCAATAGCTGCTAGTATAAGCGTCTGTGCTATACGGTGCTGCTGAATTCTGTATTTCTGCTGTTGATGCTAATGTTAAGTCCTGATTTAGCGTTTATTTCCCTTTACTTAGTGACTTCGCTCATGTTTTCACATTGAAGAATGTGTATAGCTGTATTCTCTGTATAGCATTCTCCCCTCTGTTCCTAATATTTCTCGTTTTGTCTCCCGCCCGCTGCAGGTGCAGTCAGAGAGGTGTCTTTTTGTGGATCAGGAAAAGACGGTCCTGGATTTTTATTTTTTTAATTTATTTGACAGGGACAGTTGATTGACATTGATTGATTGACATTTCTGTAAATGCGCCAGAGTTAGCCAACAGGCTATTTTTCTTGAAAGTCATCCTAAAAACAAAAATTCACTTCAAATAACAGGTAAATACAATCAGTAAAACAACATTCAACAGATATGCTTATATTATGATAAAAGCATATATAAAAACTAAAATACATATTCACAAAGCAGGCGGTGAAATCCACCAAACTGAGTCGCAAAAGGCCAGCAGAAGAGGAGGTGTGAAGGTGTAGCTATGTCGGCTGTGTGGCGTGAGGAAGATGAGTTCAAGGTGGGAGGAGCCAAAGGAGGGTTGAGATCCAAACCTCGGTTCTCCTTCACTGAGGTCAAAGTGCTGCTGGATGCGGTGAAGAGGAACAGATTCATCCTCCTCAGTGAGTGGAAAGGTGTGTGTGTGTGTGTGAAATTAGATCGTTGTTGTATCATTGTTGTTCACTACGATCAGATTAAACCAGGAACATGGTGACACCAATTTATTTATGATAGTTACACATAGTCTGATGAATAATGTACATGTGGTACAGTTTCATAGCTATAAACTACATTTACAACAGCCAGGTTTTTCTTTGTCATCACCATTTACATTTATAACCAACAACAACCCATTACAAATGCATAAATAAATAATGGTTTAATAGGGCACATTAATAAAAGAAAAAGTATTGCAATTTCAGGTTTTTGTTGGGGAAATAGTGTAGCCTACATTCTTACTGTTGCTGCAGCAGAATTTTAAAAGCTGTGTTACTTTGGTGTGGGTAAGGAGTCTGGCGGCTGCGTTCTGGACACGCTGGAGTCTATTGAGGGATGTAGTGCTGATGCCGTAGAGGAGTGAGTTGCAATAGTCAAGTCGGGAGGAAATTAAGGCGTGAATGAGTCGCTCAGCTGCAGGGCGGGTGAGAGAGGGACGGAGTTTGACAATATTGCGGAGGTGGAAAAATGAGGTTTTTACAACTTGACGGATGTGGGGCTCGAGGGAGAGGGTGGGGTCAAATATAACGCCAAGGTTGCGTGCCTGGGTGGAGGGGGAAACAGGGGTGCCATCAATGGTGACTGTCAGGTTGGGGGTTTTGCTGAGGGTGGATTTGGAGCCGATGAGGAGGAGTTCAGTTTTATTGCTGTTGAGTTTGAGGAAGTTGTGTTGCATCCAGGATTTTATTGCAGTCAGACAGGAGTCGATGTGGGTGAGGGGGGGGTTGTGGGGGGATTTGGTGCTGAGGTAAATCTGTGTGTCGTCAGCGTAACAGTGAAAGTCCAGGTTGTATTGGCAGAGAATCTGACCAAGGGGGAGGATGAAGAGGAGGGGGCCGAGTACTGAACCTTGGGGAACACCTTGGGTGACTGAAGCTGTGGCAGAGGAGTGGTTGTTGAGGGAGATGAAGTGGGATCTGTCGGAGAGGTAGGACTGGAGCCACCTGAGTGCAGTTATAGCAGAGGCAGGAGCAGAATAATTGAGTTGATCAAAGTCAGGCCTTGAAAGGGCTCAGTAACAGGTTACCGGGGGTTGTTAGGTCATATCTTGCAGGAACACTTAACAGGAATAGCAAAGTGAAAATGACTGAAGGATAAGGCAGCCTTTGAAGAGGGTCATGTGGGCAGTTCGGCAGTTCAGGTAAAGTTCCACTGAGTTTTTTTGTCATGTGATTGTCGGTCTCAGACGAGTCATTGTTGGCTTCCCAGCTGCACAGAGGAGACAGGATGTTTCCTGATGGAAGCGTTTGAGTCACGTGATGAAGAGCTTTTCCGTTTCTGATCATGTTTAATGCTGCATTTATCTATTATTTATTTATCTTCTATGTGAACCCCAAACAGAGGGTTTCTGCAGATAATATAGCTTACTTTCATCACTGTCTGTTAGTGGTTTTACCAGCAGTACCTAAGCAGAGTAAACCCCATACCTTTGTCCGTACCTGTCTCACCTCCCATATCTCTCCCTGTAGGGAAGTTTAACCAAGGCGTGTCGGCTGAAGCCAAGAAACAGACCTGGACTGAAATCACCAATCAGATCAACGGTCTGGGAGAGAACCACAGAGAGGTTTGAGACTCTGATTACTATTGATTATTTTTAGTCCTGTTAATGATAATGGATGTGTGAATTCATAAGCTATCTGTGATTTAATGTGATTTCAAGTTTAAATATTCCATGAACTCACAAGAGAAATGGCCAAAATGAGGGAATGAACATTGAAAACAATTTTGGGTCCTGTTACAATCTCAGAACCCCTCAGATTGATCTTGCGTAATCCTTACAGGTCTAAACGGAT